TCGTGGTTTTTCCATGATTAGGACTATAATGTGAAAACTGCTCTTAGCTTGCACATAGTGAGATGATTCACTCATTACCAGTACTGAGCTTTTTCCTCTCCTTTTATCTGGTCATAGGGAGTCTCCCTGAGACCATTGTGTGAGGAGAGGGAAAGGCATTCATGCAAATGAGGTAGGCAAAATGAGGTCTGGGACAACTATTTTGTAACTCTAGGCAACCCCCCAAATACTATTCTCTCGATAGAATGGGTTGCCGCCATGCCCATATAATTTAATTGCTTCTTGTTTCAGAGAGTTGTAGCTGTTTTAAATAGTGGCTAATTCTCTGTTGCATTCTTTGCTGCAGGCTCTATGGGTTTATTCTGGGACTCATATTAGGACTTATCAGAAACCCCCACCCCCCGCGTTTCTTTATCTACCACTAATGCCAGGAACAGCACCTGTATCTCCAACAGCCTGTAGTCTGAGAAGCAGGCTGCTTGAACCTCAGCCTAAACCTGCTATAGAATTCTCCCTTGCTCTTGGTCCCAGTCAAAACTGTCAGCCTCCAATGTCACCAGGTAAATCATGAGTTACACCAGAATTTTCAAGGGTGTTATATGCTGTCTCTAAAATCCAGAGATGCTTCTTTCTTAGTGGTGGGAGATGCACATTACAATAATTTGTTCTTTAATATAGGGGTGATGCCTGAGCATGCTCCCCACCATTGAAAATGTAAAAACACCCTTAATTTGGCAAGTTCCTGAATATCTGTGGATTCTTCCACCCTGTCATGTGCATGTGTCTTATCAGAGAATCCAGGGTCCTTGACATTTTGTTCTTAAGCACTCTAATTCATATGATGACATCGATATCCTGGATCAGTGTGATAGAAAGCATCTAAAGGATCTAGGTTGTTTCAGTCTGTATTGTGACAGAGCAAAACAGTAAATGTAACCTATACAACATCCTTGTATGCACACTGCTGCCTATCCTAGTTGACTGTTTTCTTGATAGAGATTAACTGAAAAGAGCCTGCAAGAACAATATTCACATAGTAAATGTTAGACACCTTGACTGTTTTAGTAAGGATGCTTCATCTGGCACAGCAGTTGTTGGGGCTACAATATTTTTGACTAAGTAAATGAGTGTATAACCAGACAATAAATCAGATCCCAGTGTATTGTTTGAAAATTGGGACAGACATTAAAATTCTCAGGACTGCTACATAGCAAAAGGCATATATTATGTAATAACTAGAGGCCTGGTGCACAAAATTCGTGCATTGGGAGGGGGAAGGGAAGGTGTCCCTCAGCCAGGCCTGCACCCTCTCACAATCTGGGACCTATCAGGTAGGGTCCTTAGGTCTGAATGGTGATCAAGACCTATCTGGTCCTTCTCTTTCCCCCACCCCCAATTGCCTGCAGGCAACTGGCCCTGCTATCTGTGCAGCTTTGTCTCTACCTCCACCCCTACCTCCCTGACCAGTTGCATCACACCCACCTTGGCTGGCCTGGCATCAGTGCATGTCATAGTGTGGTCGTCCAGAAGGTGGTCTGGATGGTTGTTCTGCTGTTCAGTTGTTTGGTGGATTTGCATATTATGCTTTTATTATTATAGATTAGTTAGACATAAGCAACCATCTTGAATTTTTATACTAAAAATGTCATAAGACTAGGGCTTCTTGAAAACATTTCATTCAAGTAGAACTATTGGTCAGACATAAAAAAGTCAGGGAGTGATCTGAGTGTTTTATAGTTACTACAAACTATAGGAGTGCACATAATTGGATTTATGTACTTTTTAAAAATTAATACATTTTTGGGAAATCAGAATTTAGTACCTACTGACATTTTACCTAAACCCTCTTGCCCTAGGGCTTTGCTTTTCTATAATTAATAAATAATAATTAATACTTGTATTTCCTAAGTATCATTTCCTACTCATTCAACTGGTACAGGGTGATTACTCTGAGACTCTACATATTCCTTCAGGGGCAAAATTAAATGCTTAGGGATCACAGAGTGAGAAAAACTGAGAGGAAAGCTTTCTACCTCAGGGGTAAGAAGATGCTGGGCTCTTGAGTCTCTGGTCCCTTCAGGGTCAGCAAGGCAGTCTTTCCCCGGGGAAGCTAAAGCATAAATTCTACTTTCTGAAAGCTAAAGTATAAATTCTACTTTCTGTAGCAGATTCAGACAGACAGAGCTGGAAATAACCCTTCCTGACAGAGATCACTGTCTCCATCCAGTAAGTCTGGCTCCACCAGAATGGGAAGACATTAAGCCACCTCCGTGGACAGCTGGCTAAAGCAGGGACTGTGGTGGGACTAACACCAGGCTTTCAATTGGAAAAACTGTAGGACTGAAGTTGAGGATAGGAGCTTGAAGGGAAAGTAGGGGAGAAAAATGACATAGGGTCAGATACAGATGGCTGTGCCAAAGCAGAGCCCTGACTTCTGTGTGCTCTGGAGAGAGGTTAAGTTCAGGTGGAGGTTCAAGGGTCTACAGCAGAGTATCATGTGGGAGATGTCTTGAAGAGCTTTAATGACACTGTTATGGGAAAATGAGGGAGAATGCAGATTTAAAAGGGAAAAAGGATTCCCAATCACACACCCTTGGTTATCATTACTAAGCCATCTTCAGTAGTCTGCCTTTTACTGCCTTTCTCATTTCCTAGAAGCACTCTGCTCCCTTTCTGCTCTTTGCTTTACTTCTTTGTCCTTTCTATTTACATTCAATCTCTTCTGTTTTGATTGCAGTTTTCTCTTTTCCATCTTCTCTTCACCATCTATTTTCTGGGCATGTATGCTTCAGCTCTCCCAGTCTGTCCTTCACCTATTGGCTTAGAATCACTCTACTGTTAACAGCTTCCTCCAAACCAACAGAGGTACCCCAGGGAAGCCAGGTTAGATTATTGTGTTCCACTCACTAAGTTTCTCTGTTCCGTTCATCATCATTACTTTTCTTACCCCTCTCTTGCCTCCAGGTCCTATTGAACAGGTTTGACATCAGAAGTAATAATTTTTCAAGATTAAGACAAAATTCTCTATTCTCTTAATTTAGTGCCCAAAAAGGTAACAGAAAAGTTTTTGCCCAGATATGGGCCCTGTAGACCCCAAAAGCAACAATCTTACAGGTTGTATCACTGTGGTTTGTTTGTGAAATACCCCATTAGAGTTAATAATTTTGCTCCAGGAAGACTGTTTGCAAGGTATCTGAGACAATGAAGTGGACAGTGACACCATTAAGCTGTACAAAGAAATCTAACAATTGGGGGAAAGAGGGCAGAATGATATAAGTACAGAGGGTTAGAAGAAGAAGCATGAGGGACTGTGAGAGTAAGGTACCTTTCAAACAAGAGGTCAAGAATCCTAAGACCAGTGTGCAGCTCTAATAGCAGTGCCCTGACACACACAGATTCTTCAGATTGTATAGTCACATTAATCTTTAAGGTCTTTTCTTTGTCTTTGATATCAGAAATTAGAAGATGAAATCAAGGTTTACACATTTAAATATATCTAGGTGTGAAATTATTTTTGCATATCTCACTGAGATTCTTGAATTTAGTTATTTATGTATTTCATCTCTGCTGAAAAATTCCATTCTCTATCCCATTCTCTCTCCTCCTCAATCTGGAACTCTGACCATATGTAAGTTATTCTATCCTCTATTTGTGTTATTTTCTTCAGCCATTTTCATTTTGAAACTTGATCTTCACCTCCATTCTGAGTAGATTCTTCTGAATCAGATTCTGTTATCTATTATTTTTGTGAGCTTTTTACTTACAATATTTTTCTTAAATTTATTATTATTATTATTATTATTATTATTATTTTACTGCTAGCAAACCTATCTTCAGAAGGATCTGTGTTGAAGTTCTCTGAGGCCTGAGATAAAAGCTGGTTCCTGAAAAAAGCATTTGGGCTTACTTCTCTCATCTGTGTTTCATCTTATATTTTCTGGGGCCACTACAATTTAGGATAACTTTCAATTCTTCTTTGAGCCAAACAGTTGATGTGAACTCAGGCTGCAAAGTCACTTGGACCAGCCTCCAGTTCAGGTTTCACAGGGAAACTTCTCCTACCAGTATACAGTGAGTCTGAGGCAGTGTGTTTTCTTTGAATTCAGGTGGGGATGAGGGATGGAGATGAAAAAGTGAGTTTATTTTTAGTCCCTTTATTCAGGATCTAGTGCTGTAAAGGCCTCTCATGTGGGAGATCACCTAATAGGTTTGTCACCTGCTTTAGCCTGGATTTTACTTCTGTCTCTGAGCTCTATTAGGTAATGAAAACTGGTGCTTCAGTTCATATAATACCACAAATGCCCTCCGGTTGAAAACCAATATCAGTGTTTGATTTTCATATCTGGATCTCACTCGCTCTGTAGTCTGATAATTTTTTTTTGTCTGATATGGATACATTCAAATATATGTATATACAAATATACATATAGGTGTAGCTATAGAAAAGGCTGTTGGTATATATAGAGACATAGACTAACCATAGATATGATTGTTACTCATTTTCATCAGGAGATTTGCTCTATGTACTGAGACCACCATGCCTCTAAGTGCTTCCACCTTTTACTTCTTTAAAAACTTAATTGTGGATACCATAGCTCTATATATTTAAAAAATTTAAACTAAAATCTTTTCTCTGCTTTTACATGTTTCATTAAAATAACATTTGATGCTCAAATGATTTTTAATTCATTAAGTATTAACCAAGAAAACACACTAAAACGATTTCTCCAGTTCACACAGGAGATGATATAAAATGAAACACAGAGGAAAGAACAACAGGAAAACATTATTTTACACATTCAACAAATATTTTTTAGCCACCTCTTATGTGTTAAAAAGTGTGCTAGGCACAAGGGAAGTGGGGTAGATGAGGTGGGCTGTGTCCTTATTCTCATGGATCTTGCAAGCTAAGTATGTAGTCATCAGAGTCTATGGTAGAATTAACTTCTTCTTTCTTCTTCAGTTACTCAAAGACATCTACCTCATGAAAGTCACTGCCAATGCTGCCGGATAGCAACAGCTCTGTCTCTGCTGAAGTCTCTGAATTCCTCCTGAATTGTTTTGTCAGATCTCCCAAGTGGCAACTCTGGCTGCCCCTGCCTCTCAGCTTTCTCTTCCTTTTGGCCATGGGTGCCAACGCCACCCTCCTGATCACCATCCGGCTGGAGGCCTCTCTGCATGAGCCCATGTACTACCTGCTCAGCCTCCTCTCTCTGCTGGACATGGTGCTCTGTCTTACTGTTATTCCCAAGGTCCTGGCTATCTTTTGGTTTGACCTCAGGTCCATCAGCTTCTTTGCCTGCTTCCTTCAGATGTTCATTATGAACAACTTCTTACCAATGGAATCCTGCACATTCCTAGCCATGGCCTATGACCGCTATGTGGCCATCTGTAAGCCTCTGCACTACCCATCCATAATCACTGACCGATTTGTGGCAAAAGCCATTGCCTTCATCTTGATCCGGAATACTTTTCTCACTGCACCAATCCCTATCCTCTCTGCCCGGCTCCATTATTGTGGAAAAAATATCATTGAGAACTGTATCTGTGCCAACCTCTCTGTGTCCAAGCTGTCCTGTGATAAAGTTGCCCTTAATAAAATCTACCAGTTAATTGTGGCCTGGACTCTCCTGGGCTCTGACCTCGTCCTCATCATTCTCTCCTACACATTCATCCTTCGAGCTGTTCTTAGACTCAAGGCAAAAGGGGCAGCTGGCAAAGCGTTGAGCACTTGTGGCTCTCATTTTATTCTCATCCTCTTCTTCAGCACCATCCTGCTGGTTTTTGTTTTTACCCATATGGCCAAGAAAAAGGTTTCCCCTGATATCCCTATCTTACTTAATATCCTACACCATGTAATTCCTGCAGCTCTCAACCCCATTGTCTATGGCGTACGAACCCAGGAGATTAAACAGGGGATTTGGAAGTTATTAAGGAGAGGTGGGTGACAGAAGAAAGTAATTGTGTTCTTGCTTTGCTTTTCCCAATAAAGAATACTCACAATCATAATTGGAAGGCAGAGATTGAAAGAAATGCAAATCATAATCTCTCTGGACATGCCTAATGAAACGAACTGTATTTTCCCCCCATATATAGGATTACATCCTATTTCTTATTATTTTATGGTACCCTGACAGGAACTAAAGATATAGTTGTGTAATTGCTCACCATACTACTCAAACCAGGGGCTATGAATTTTGATGAGTCAAGCAACAACACTAATTGTCTGGTCCTGATGAAATCTTCAGTAGAGCCAGTGGAGATGGAAATTCAATACTAATTAAAGATGTGTAGTCATTGTGAAGTATTAGTACTTAAAGATAGTACATGAACTTTGGAAGGGTAAATATAAGATTAAAAAAAACAACTGTTAAAATGTTTAAAATAGCTATTATGTTTTGACATTTTTCTTTGGGCATTTAAAAATATTTGACAGTTATTTTATGTCCAGCAGAGTGCTAGAAAATGGAAATCTTAATAAATAAATCTTGATCCCATTATATAAAAAACAACACATAGTCTGGTGGAAAAGACAAGCATATGTAAAATCAATTATATTGCAATGTAATAAGAGATTGAAACACACAAATAAAGCAGTTTGGAATCCCCGAAAGGAGAAGAATTTATTTTCTTAGGTGGGACTCACTTACCTATCTGACTTCCTCCTTCAGTTTACTACATGTAACCTGCCTTTCTAGCAGTTTTGCAAAAACAGGAACTATATTTCTGCCTTTGGGACATTTTACTATTTGTTCCTGTGCCCATGTAGCTTCTGCCCTCATGCCCATGGGTCTTCTTGACCAGAGTATTTAAAATAATAGTCAACAATATTCCCCCAAACAAAAATTATTTCCTAATGCCGTCTGTGTTTCACTGGTCTGCATAGGATATATCACTGTCAATGACTATAACATTTTACTCATTTATTTGTTCAGTCAGTCTATGTTCACTAAAATGTAAGCAGGATAAGGGCAGGGATTTTGTTCTGTTATGTTCATTGCTGTATCTTCAGTGCCAGAATAGTGCTTGGTGTATGGTAGAGACCCATAAATATTTGTTAAATAAATGATTAAATAAATGTTGCACCAATAATTGAATGTGTGCTAGTAACTAGGATTATAATTCAGACATGGCCTTTGTCTTTGGGTTATTACATTAAATAATAAGAGTGTGGGAGAGAGTATATTCATGCATGAGGTTATAATTTGAGAAATTGTATGGAAAATCATTATAGGAGGAGGTAGAGGCTTAGGGGTAAAATCAGAAGTACATTTTAAGGCACTTTGAGTTTGATTACCCATGAGACATATAAATGGAAGTACATAGTAAGTACTTGAACTTACAGGTTTGGCACTCAAGATAAAAACATGGGAATTGAAGCAATAAGAGTTGATAGGATGGCCTATGGAAAGAATATAGAGTAAGACAACCTACACAAAAGCCCCGAAGAGCCCCCATATAATCCTATCTTTCAGTGTGGGGAGATGAACATGGAAAGAACACAAAATAGTGGTCAGGAGAGGAAAGGCAAAACTGAGAGAGTCACAGAAGAAAGCCCCTCAAAATGGAATTTGGTTAATTCAAGGTTTTCTGTAGAGTGTGTAGGATCCTGTGTATATAAACAACTTAATGTTTAAAATACATTACAAAAATTTTAAGTCCATGTGAGCCCATTGTAAAATGTATGTAAAAGGAACAAACTTGTGGAAATAGAAACAAAGAAATGAATAATGTTTCAATGAATGCAGAGGTCTACATATCTTTATGAAGAAAAGCTCATAAATTAAAAAAATGTAAGACTCCAGATTGAAAGGTGCTATAGAGACAAATTAGATGTTAAAAAACAAAAGCAACTAGATACATTATAATATACTAGGGGCCCAGTGCACAAATTCATGCACTTTGATAAGGACTGAGTCATGAGGCTGCAGTGGGCACAAAGATGGTCTTGGCCCCTCCTCTGTACCCCTACCTGGCCCCTCCTGCCATGGCCCTCAGTCCTCTGTCTGCCTGCCGTCCTGCTCACACTTACTGATGGCTCCAGCAGTGGGTGCAAGTGGTAGTTGCCAGCCCTGATTGCCTCTCAGAAGCAGAGGGGGATTGAGAAGCCCTCAGGGGTGATCAGGGCTGGCAGCCTCTGCTTGCACCACTGATGGTGCCAAGCAATTGGGACCGGTGCTGGGTGCTAGCAGCGGGTGTGAGTGGTGACTCTGGTGCTGGCTGTGGGTGCGAGTGGGGGTGGTGCTGGCAGTGAATGAAAGAGGCAGCAGCTGGCCCTGATCGCCCCTCAGGTCTTCTCCACCTTTCCCACTCCTGAGATGCAATCCAGGCTGGTAGCTCCTCTTGCACCCGATGCCAGTGCCAGCCCCACTCGCACCCACAGCCTACACCAGAGCCACCACTCACATCCACTGCTGGCACCCATCACTGGTCCCAGAATTGATTCTGGTTAAGGGCATATATCTTGGTTGCAGGAGAGTTTTCACTTTCCTGAAAAGAAAAAAAAAAAGGAACAAGGTCAAGATATGCAGAAGAAAGAAAATTAAGCAAAAGAAGGGCTTTAAAGAAACTGATGACACTTATTTCCATAACATGAGGGATGTGAATAATTCACATAAGGCCAAAAAAGAAAATTTAAAAAAATAAAGGAACAAATCATGTTTTGTAATAATTAGTTGTATATTCTATCTTTTAAAAAAATCTCTCACTATAGCAAAAATTATTGTAGGACTCTCTGAAAAACGTTGCATTTTCTCAGTAATATCTTATTTTAAAATTCCCTGCATATATATATATATATATATATATATATATATATATATATATATACCTAAGCAACAGAACGACCAAATGCGGTTGCTATGATGCACACTGACCACCAGGGAACAGACTTTCAATGCACAGGATCAGGATCCCTTCTATCTGGATTGGGCCTGCAGGGATTGGGCTGAAACCAGCTATTCAACATCCCCTGAGGGGTCCCGGATTGCGAGAGGGCTCAGGCCAGACTGAGGGACTTCACCAATGCACGAATCCATGCACCAGCCCTCTAGTGTTACAATAAGTTATCATTAATCCACTCAGTATCATGGTTTGGAATGTACCTTTCTAAAAAACATGTGCAAAAGCTCAGGAGGACTTCTGGGTGAGCCTTTGGATTCATGGAAGGTGCCAAGTGTGCAGGTGCAAATGAGTATGGACATGTATGAATGTTTGTAGATCTCTATACTCAGGAGACTGACTTATTGCCCACAGAACACAGCCAGTGTAATGCTGGAGTACCAAAGGTCCTTTCTGTTAGGAAAAAAACAAACAAAAACCTATAACATCATTTTCTCATCTACCTACCTGTCTATTCTGAGATGGCCTTTTGGGCCCAAGGAAGTAGGTATAGAGAACTTCCCAGAGGGCAGAGTCCCTTAGGCTCTAGAGTCATAATTACCCCTAATACTCGGAGAGTTATCCTGAGCACTAATGTCAGTGTCCTCTGGCTAGAGGGTGTCTGAGAGGCAGCTAGACCAAGATTATCCACAAGACAGAAGAGATGCATCTCTTCAGCCCAGGTCTGTGCTCCTGTTCATTCCCGAGTCAGTACAGCTGAAGCAGTGTAAAAATGGGATAATAGGGACTGGCCTGTCTCAGATCAGGGGGCACATGTGAGACCTTGTGTTCTGGAAACTTCTCTTTTGTCCTCCTTTTGCCTTCTCTTTTGTTTGGTTGTGACAGATGCAGAGTCCAGGATTTATTCATAAGAGGTTAATGGGAGTAAAAGAGCTAGGAAGTGCATTGAAGTGAAAATTGATTTTTGAACAATGAATATAAAAATTTAAGGGCTCTAGGAAGAAAAATATGCCCACAAATGCTTAAATCATAAGGTAGGAATTAAATCTAATCTATATAACTTCAGAGGTCGAGAACAAAGTACACAATTGGCAAGTGGGGATTACAAAATAGTGCTACAGATTTCAGCTGAAGCTAAAGAATTTCTAAAAGCGACTGCTGGTGAAAACAGAAAACAATGCCCAGCATATCAAAATTACCTGTTGCTGGGTGCAGTGATATTGTCTAAAATTATACTTGAGAAAGAACTTTAGTAGAATCCTTTTTCTTTAATGTAAGCGAGAGTACCACATTGCTTTATTTTACAATTCTATTTTTCCAGCCTATTCCATATGTCAGAGTTAGTCAAGTCTCATAATAGTTGGTGAAAGACCCTGGCATTGCCCACATTACTTGGTATTATTATCTAATGTCTCAAGGATTGCATTCATTTTAGAGAATAAGGACAATTTCTTATTTAATGTTGTGGCTCTAGTACCTGAAAGAATGCTGGGAAAAGGTTAAGTGATAATGGCAACATTGCACTAGTGCCTGGAAGGGGAGAGTGTGTACCTGGATCATTACATTGAAGATGGAAAGGGCAATAGAAAGGAGATGGAAGGACTTTAAAAGTGGACCTTACCACTCTCACACTATTCCAGTCAGAAGAATCAACTTTTCATCCTGTTAATGACAGGTATCACCCCTGTGACATTGCTAATTTCCTTTTTCAGGCTGTTTCTTCTAGATTAGGGGTGTCGAACTCAATCAGAGAAGGGGCCAAAATCTAAAATCCAGCCTAAATCGCGGGCCGAATGGTTTACTGAACAGTCATAAACTGTCATTGTGATGGAAACGCAGCGGAGTGCAGTGATGACAGCGCGGTGCGGGCCACATTGCAAGGCCTGGCGGGACGGATTTGGCCCACGGGCCTTGTGTTTGACACATGTGTTCTAGATGTTAAGAATGCTACAGCCGAAACCGGTTTGGCTCAGTGATAGAGCATCGGTCTGCGGACTGAGAGGTCCCGGGTTCGATTCCAGCCAAGGGCATGTACATTGGTTGTGGGCACATCCCTGGTAGGGGTTGTGCAAGAGGCAGCTGGTTGATGTTTCTCTCTCATCAACGT